TTCACACAGATTGATGATGTTTGGGTCAATTTTGAATATTTTAAGTATTTTCAATATCCACTGGTGTGGTACGCTATCGTAAGCTTTTTGATAATCTATCCAGCATAATGATAGATTTTTCTTTTTACTGTGTACGTCCTTCATTATCTTTTTGTTATATAATAGTAGATCTTTACATCCGTATGAACCTTTGCAGCATCCTCGTTGCTCAGCTGGAATCAACTGTTGAGCTATTAGGTGGTCATATATACGAGATGACATTATCCCAGTTAGTAATTTGTACAGTACGGATAAACAAGTAATGGGTCTGTAATTTTCTGGCTTAGAAGGGTCTCCTTTCTTGTAAATAAGATACGTGATGCCACTATTCATCCACGTGGGCAGATCTTCTTCTCCTTTTAGTATTTTTGTTAAGATTACCGCTAATTTTTTATGGGTGGCACTTATCTTCTTTAACCAGTAATTATGGATTCTGTCAAGCCCACCGGCTTTCCAGTTGGCAGCTTTACTGAGTACATCCTTTATTTCCTTCTCCGTGATGCTTTCACCGGTCGTCATGCGTTCTAGGTGCTGATAACTGTCAATAGTTTCCTTCATCCATTCCGTGTTCTCGTCGATAATTTCCTTCCTGCGCCAGATTTCCGACCAATAGTGTACTACATCTGTCTCTCCCGGCACGTCTTGCGGTGTCTCAGCTTTTCCATTAAGTTCTTGGTATAACCTTCTGGTGTCATATTGGAATAAATAATTCTGTCTGCGGAATGCGACTCTTTTATTATACCGCTTTCTACGTTGGGCGTAAGCCTGTATCTTTTGTTTTAGTTGTTCTTCTACTCTTACCCGGTCTTCTAAATTGTTTATGGTGTATCGACATTTCAATTGTTCTAACTTTCTTCTTGTTGCATTTCTCAATTTTGAGTTATCTTCTTCATGGAGGATTGAGAGATCGGATCTGAGTTTTGTGATCTTGGCCTCTATTCGCTTCTCCCAGGGGGCAGAAGTCTCGGTGTATCTATTTTGTAGGTGTCTGATTGGTTCTTCAGTTAATTTTTGATGTGGGCTTACTTTCATTGTTACTATTTTTGCTGTCGCATACAATAGGTGGTTAACCTCCGTAATATTTTCAATCAGTGTTTCTTCCAAGATTTGTGAAACTGCTTCGTTTGCTTGTTTTACTATCATCTTTAGTTTCATGTTATCTTGGAGTTTTGGTAGTTTCAGTCTCTCGTTTATGGGTGAGTTTCGTAGAAACGTATTCTTCGAGAATCTCCTGTTTGATAGTATTATCTGTTTGATCTTCACTCATATCTTCTGTATCTGTATTAGATATTATTATTTTATTATAATTATTACAGTTTCTTCTTATATATTATTATAATTACAATTAATTATTATTATTAATTTTTATTATTATATTATTATTATTATTATTTTAATTATTATTATATATTATCATTATAATATATTATATTCTTATATTATTATTATTATATTACTATCTTATAATATAATATTATATTATTATTATATAATTAATTATTATTATTACAATTATTATTATTATTATTATATTATTTATTATTTATTATTTATTATTTTTTTTTTTTTTTTTTTTTTTTAAGCCCACAGCGGCATCGACTGCTAAGGCCATTAGCCGCTTTCCTCCTGCCCATATGGTCAATTGCCACATTCACCACAGGGGTAAATCTGGGTGATTC